TAACTTTTTATTATTTGGATTTTTTAATGATATTCTTTAATTGCTTTCAAAAGTTCCTTTTTTTCTTTTTCATCATTTGGTTTTATTTTCCTCTCCTCCTCTGTTTCTTTTTCTCCCATTTTACTGTCAACTGCCTTGAATTCCATTTTTGGGAAGAAAGCCTAAGTTTTTTTTTTTTTTAAATGAACTCAAATAAATCAAACAAATTACAAACTCTTGGATGTCTGCGAGGCTGATGCATGTGCATAAAAAAAGCCACGGGACGTTTTGTGGAGGGGGTAACAAACACTCTTGGCTTGACGTCAGGATTAAAGAGGGGCCCTCTGAGGAAAAAATGTTGAAACTTGCTATGAATTTAAGGAACGGAAGAAGACACCCAAGTTGTATTTTGGGTCAAAATGGAAAACCCTGAAGGAGATTTGAAAGGATGCAATTGGAAAGCTAGCACTCAATGACCTGTGCAAAAGTCCAGAAGGGAAAAGGCAGGAAGGAGGGGAAAAGGCTAAGGCTGCATAACTAGAACCACTCACCGGATCAGGCCCGTCATCAGGGTGTAGCACCAACATTCAGAGACCACTGACATCTAGAGATGAAATATTCTGATGAATTTTGGAAAAAAGAAATGGAACACTATTCAGGCTTAAAACACAGCAACCAGATTTTCATGAATCACTTATCTGCTTTTTTTCTCTCTAGGTGTGTGTGGGGCACATGGACCCATGTGTCCTGGGCACCCCACTCCCCAAGAAAAAGGCAGGCGGAGTGGGTGGGAGACTGTGTCACATATCCTGAGTGCCAAAATTGTGAGTTACGGTTCTTTACTGGAGAGGAAATCCCTAGGGTTTACATCTGAGTAGACCCGTACAACTTCCAACATTTTACAGGCAAGAAAGAAGGCATTCCAACTGTGCCACGCCTGCAAGCATACCATTTGGCAAGCTCTTCCTCCCCACCGTTGCGTGCGGAGCCTGGCAAAACCATTTGCGTTGTTTTGTGTTGTTCTGTTGTTGTTTCCACAGCAGCTCCCAGAATTCTGTGCCTCAGGAATTTAATTTTCCCCCCCAACTGCTTGTAGAAGGCGGGTGGGTGCAGCAGGGGCTGTTTTAAGAAGTTTTAGTTGCTGTTATTGCAAATTGGTGCCATCTCGTGGGACATCTGAATATTGCAGACCATCCTCAATATCTTAAGAGATGGAGTAAAACAAGGCAGCAGGATGATCCTCTTTGCTTTCAAATGTGAGGGGTCCGCAAGGCAAACATTTTCCCATTTTAATGTATTCTCAAAGGCTTTCACGGCCGGGATCTAATGGTTGTTGTGGGTTTTTTTGGCTCTTTGGACGTGTTCTGAAGCTTGTTCTTCCTAACGTTGCACCAGTCTCCGTGGCTGGCATCTTCAAGGGACAGGAGTCGGAACTCTCAGAGCACAGACAGTGACAGATAATCTCTCCTCCTTATCACAACAATACACCCACAACAAAAACACACTGATCACCACAATCACCCATCTCCTGCAAAGGACAAAAGCTGATCCCACAGCTATAAATACTCAACTCCCAAACAAACTGCACTAGAGCGCAGAGTGCTGTCCTCTGAAGATGCTGGCCACAGAGACTGGTGAAATGTTAGGAAGAACAACTTTCAGAACACGGCCAAAGAGCCCGAAAAACCCACAACAACCTGACTCTCGGTGTGTGTGGGGCACATGGACCCATGTGCCCTGGGCACCCCACTCCCCAAGAAAAAGGCAGGCGGAGTGGGTGGGAGACTGTGTCACATATCCTGAGTGCCAAAATTGTGAGTTATGGTTCTTTACTGGAGAGGAAATCCCTAGGGCCTACATCTGAGTAGACCCGTACAACTTCCAACATTTTACAGGCAAAAAAGAAGGCATTCCAACTGTGCCACGCCTGCGAGCATACCATTTGGCAAGCTCTTCCTCCCCACCGTTGCGTGCGGAGCCTGGCAAAACCATTTGCGTTGTTTTGTGTTGTTCTGTTGTTGTTTCCACAGCAGCTCCCAGAATTCTGTGCCTCAGGAATTTAATTTTCCCCCCCAACTGCTTGTAGAAGGCGGGTGGGTGCAGCAGGGGCTGTTTTAAGAAGTTTTAGTTGCTGTTATTGCAAATTGGTGCCATCTCGTGGGACATCTGAATATTGCAGACCATCCTCAATATCTTAAGAGATGGAGTAAAACAAGGCAGCAGGATGATCCTCTTTGCTTGCAAATGTGAAGGGTCCGCAAGGCAAACATTTTCCTATTTTAATGTCTTCTCCAAGGCTTTCACGGGCGGGATCTAATGGTTGTTGTAGGTTTTTCAGGCTCTTTGGCCATGTTCTGAAGGTTCTTCCTAATGTTTTGTCAGTCTCTGTGGCTGGTATCTTCAGATTGCTGCCCTGCAGAAGGCCAAGGAACTTACCCAGCCACAAGGACTAGGGATCATTGCACAAAAAAGACCAGCTAAAGACACCCTTCAATCACAGTGACATAGTGTGTGTGTTTTTAAAAACCAGAAGTGAAGTTACTGGTTTTGGAGAGAAGCAAGCCCTCCTTTTGAGGGCCCAGGAGGGTGTTACTAGAGGCAGATGGGGGGGCAAAACTTTTGTCCCTGAGTCTGTCAAAAGTTTAGGACCTTGTTACCACTCAGAGCATGTTTCTCCAAGGGGATCTACCCATCCAACCTGTTCCTCTCAGGCTGCACCCTTGAGACTGCCTTGTTGTTGTTTAGTCGTTAAGTCGCATCTGTTTGATTTTGCATTATTTCAGTGGCGATGGATTGCCTCTTTTGGTTTTGTGTTTTTCGAGCAACAGCCCTTTCGTTTAACACGAAAGGAACTGCCTCTTTCTGGTATTTTCATTTTGTTTCTACACATCTGTATTTCCGGCACTCCACACCTTAAAGAATCCTTAACAGGAAAGAAGCCAATTAACCAAGAGCCGTATCTGCTCCCAAAGTGTGTGATAATACCTAAGGGGGAAAAAAACATCCGATTTTGAACACACTAGTGTATGTTATCACATTCATCATCCTCATCAATTCTTCAACATTGAGGATTGTAGTAGGCCTGTGATCCCACCTATTTGGTGCTCATTCCTCAGCCTTTCATGTGCAGCACACGCTTGTTGATCCCTTCCTCTTGTGAGCAGACGGTGATGTTTTGACCGTGTAATTATATCCACACTCAACAAATGTGGCCCACATCCTTCACACATTCTCTGTGCAGTTTTGCATCCCAGATCACTCACTGAGACACACACACACAAGAACACGCGTGCACATACACGCACGCATGCACACGCACGCACACACACACAATATCATTGAAAAAAACAAGAATTGCTGTTCCTGGAAATGTCCAAAACTGCAGGTTACGGGTTCTCATGGGAGCCTCACCCCCAAATGTTGGGGGTTCAATCATGAGTCCCTACGTACAGGAGGCTGTTGTACTTTGTAAGAAGGTCAGCTTTTCAAATGTGTGTGTTTTTAAAAACCAGAAGTAAAATTACTAGTTTTGGAGAGAAGCAAGCCCTCCTTTTGCGGGCCCAGGGGGTGTTGCTAGAGGCAGATCGGGGGGGGGCACAACTTTTGAATCTGTCAAAAGTTTAGGACCTTGTTACCTTTCAGAGTATGTTCCTCTAAGGGGATCTACTCATCCAACTTGTTCTTCTCGGGCTGCACCTTTGAGAGAGCCTTGTTGTTGTTTAGTCGTTAAGTCATGTCTGACTCTTCGTGACCCCATGGAGTAGAGCACGCCAGGCCCTCCTGTCTTCCACTGCCTCCCAGAGTTGGGTCAGATTCATGTTGGTCACTTCGGTGACACTGTCCAACTGTCTCATCCTCTGTCGTCCCCTTCTCCTCTTGCCTTCACACTTTCCCATCAGATTCATGTTGGTAGCTTTGATGACACTGTCCAACCGTCTTGTCCTCTGTCGTCCCCTTCTTTTCTTGCCTTCACACTTTCCCAACATCAGGGGCTTTTCCAGGGAGTCTCCTTTTCTCATGAGATGGCCAAAGTACTGGAGCCTCAGCTTCAGGATCTATCCTTCCAGTGAGCACTCAGGGTTCATTTCCTTCAGAATGGATAGGTTTGTTCTCTTTGCAGTCTAGGGGACTCTCATGAGTCTCCTCCAGCACCGCAATTCAAAAGCATCAATTCTTCGGTGGTCAGCCTTCTTTATTTGTCTACCCTGAAGCAAATAAGGAAAGATAATACTAGGACCCAGGCTTTCTCTGTAGTGGCACTTTTGCTTTGGAATAAACCAGAAATTACACAGGCCCCTCCCTACAGATCTTTAGAGGATTTGGGGGTGAGTGAATATATTTAAGGAGGCTTCGGGCAACATCTAGGGAGGCATAGGGACAAATAAAAACAGATTCTGGTATTTGTACGAAATTGTTGATTTGTCATATTTGTCCATTCCAGAGATTTCAATGAATACAAAGGGACAAATATACATATTTTTTGTTTGCCCCCTTAGGCAGAAAGGGGTGGCTAGGCCCTCCAATCAGTCCAGGCTATCTAAAACAAACAAGCATTAGTAAATTCATGGTTCATCAACCTAATTGCTAATCCTAGCCTAAGTTTTGAAACCTGTGTGCTATTGATGCTAATGTTTATTTTTTTATTATTTTACTGGTTTGCTTATTATGCTGTTTTATATAATTTGGTTCACTTAGCCACCAGGTGGCAATCCTCAGTTGCCTTTCAGTTCCTGTTTTTCTTTAGTTTGTGCTGTTCTGTACTCATTCTTTTACTATTTTAGTTTGTATGTTCTGCTTAAGTCTGTAAAACGCCCCATGTAGTGTCTTACTAAGTTGGGTGGTCTAGAAGCTCAATAAATGGATGGATGGATGGATGGATGGATGGATGGATGGATGGATGGATGGATGGATGGATGGATGGATGGATGGATGCTGCCCACCCATGGATATAGGAGAGTTGGTTTGTTTTTTAATTTAAGTATGAGAGGTGGGGAATAATGACAAGTCTCCCTCCTTCCCAGGACTATGAGTATGCCCTTCATTCTCATGGCACACCCTACCAGAAGAACGACCGATGCCCCCCTCCACCACAGACTTTACCACACCGAGCATGCGAGGTGCCCAGCTGCCGTTCAGACTCGGAGTGTGAGAGACACAAGCGCTGCTGCTACAATGGGTGCATCTACGCCTGCTTAGAGTCAGTGCCCCCACCCCCAGGTAGGCCAGCCCATAAATATATTTCATACATTGGGTTCTATCTGCTGGAGCAGCTTCAAGGCACAGCAGGACACCTGCAAGAAAGTCAACTCAAGGCAACGTCCATATGATGGACAACATGTCTTGGATGCTTATCAATGTTTCCACCGTCTGTTCCCCTCTCCTTTGAATCTCTTCCTGGTCTTCTCAGAAATGACTAAAATGTTTTGGAGCAAGACAGAGAAAGCAAACAAGGCAAGAGGGAGGGAGGGAGAGGGAGAAATATATAGAAAATCTAGAGCAATCCATTGAAACCTAAGTATTTTTTTCAACAGCATGCAATTAGTCAAGACTCACTGTTATGAATAAAAAACCAAGTACAGCAGATTGCCCTATCAGCAGGATCAGTACCCATTATCCACTGCTTGAAAAGATTAAATTTTAAAAAACCCAGAAATACACATGTCCAAGGAGCATTACCAGAACTGGCCACTAGAGAGAATCATATATATATTGTTTGCATATCCATGATTTGCATATATAAGGTTTGCATATCCATGATTTTTGTTATCTGGGGAGGGGTGTGTGGAATTGATCCCCCACAGATGCTGCAATTCTAGTGCACTCAAATGGCCCATGAATAAAAATCACAGAGCCCTGTAACACCTTTTTTCAAGCCATTATTCTGTTGCAACAAAAACAACAGAGAGATTCGTAGAGACTTAACAAATTCTATTTTCAATAAAGCCATTTCTTCAGTCAGGCCACAGTGGTGTACGCAGATTGGATACACTTAGGGATGTAAGACCAAATGAAATGTGATACAGAAGATCAAATCTGTGTTAATTAAAACTATTAATTAATTAATTTGAAATATTATTATTAAGAGGAGAGTATACCATGTCCCCTGCAGTTTTAAACCTCTGGTAGACTCTTTCCACTGTCTGCAGAAAGAATACTGAATCACAGTGTCATACTTGTAGATATGCTTCTAAAATGTGTTCATTCTTCATAACAGTGTGGTCTCTTTAAAAAGTTTTAGATTGGTTGGTCCAGCCGAAACCACGCTGGCTAGGCGGAAACGGCTGGTTGCTCGACGGACCAGAGGAAGTTTTACAAGGTATGGTGGCAGTCAAAAAGCTATGTGTGTTGTTTGGAAGGTTTTGCATTGTGGATCATTATTGGACAGACTGTCCCCATTTTGGCATGTAAGTTATCTTGGAGTGCAACTACACAGTGAGAGAAATGCAGATTCACTCACTGTGAAGTCACACTGGGGAATTCTGGTTTCCCAGGATCGGTTCACATTAACTGGCCAAACAGGAAGAGGAGGAAATTGGCTGAACAGCCTTATTTGCAGCTTGTTAATGTGGCTTTTTTTTAGCCCTGTTGGAGAACTGCTTTAATAAGCTGTAAACAAGGACCAAGTGGCTTTTTGTAGCCCTGTTGGAGAACTGCTTTAAATAAGCTGTAAACAAGGGCCAAGTGGCAATTTCCTCCTCTCATTTCCTCTTCTCATTCCCTACTTTTTCATTTTTGTTTTTGTTGTGTATATGTGGAGGGTATTGTTTTGTTTTCATTTTTGGTTTTTGGTATCTATGTGCCAGAGTGCAACAAAGTTAACACCAAACTGATTTTTTTAAAAAAATAAAAGAAAGAAGACAAAAAATGCACTATTTGCTTTAAAAAAAACAAGCTCTACTAGACTTGATCTCCCCACCACCACCACCACAACACAGCACACATTTTTCTGCATTGTTCATGCAATCACACCATACAAACTGATGTAAATGTATTTACTATGTGGGAAAGTAACTTCCAGAGGCAGAGAGGAAAACTGTGGATTTGGGGGGTGGGTTGGAACTCCAGGCTGATTCACATTTGCTTTTATGTCATGTGGTCAACAGAAGAAAAAAAGTGAATCATACCATCCCAATACTGTAGTATTTCCTGCTTTTTTCATCACGGTAATTGCAGCATTAGACCGAGTTAAACTCTTTGTCCCTCCAGCCCTGCTCTGAATGACTGTGGCTTTCACAGGTCACTGGCAGAATACTTTCCCAATATAATTGGATGGCCCATATCCTGCTGCTACTGCCATATAGGGTAGACCCGCTGATTCAAATGCTGATGGGTAAATCAACTTTTATGCAAATCCCACTTTAAATCTACTTGAGATTAGCAATAGAATCTTGATTGATATATTTCACGGAGGAATTGCTCCATAAGGCTTGCTCCATCACAGAACCTCAACCTGTTGGGTCAGATGCTTATGAGATGAGATAGACCACTCAGTATGGTTATATTGGGAGAGATTTAGGTTGTGAGACCCACTAAGCCATAACTGACCTACCTCTCACGATTGTTGGGCTGTTGTGATGAAGAAATGGGGAGGGAGGAAGCTGACCTTGAGCTACTTTGAGCTTGTTGCAAGAAAGGTAGAAAAATAACTAATACATAAAGGCAGGCGGACCTTCCAGTTCTTCTTAAATTTATTTTCACAGCCGAAGCCTGTAGCACCACTGAAGATGGAGATGAACCTTTGCGCTGTCCAACAGGATATGAATGCCACATCATCAACCCCGGCAATGCTGTGGAGGGCATCCCCAACAGGGGGCAGTGTATCAAGCTACGTGGGAATACCGGTACATTGACCCACTTCCACAAACCTAAGGCTTCATGAAGGCCCTGCTTCCCACCAGCACCACCCTGTTTTTATTGATTTGTTTTCAGTCCTAATAAGCCATTTGATGATTGATCTTGGAGGATCTAATGAACCAATTACCTTGGGAGGTGGTGAGCCCTCCAACACTGGAGAAAAATATATAGCCATCTGTCAGATCTGCTTTGATTTGGATTCCTGTCTTGAGCAGAGGGTTGGACCTGATGGCCTTAGAGCAGTGGTCCCCAACCTTGGGCCTCCAGATGTTCTTGGACTTCAACTCCCAGAAATCCTGGCCAGCAGAGGTGGTGGTGAAGGCTTCTGGGAACTGTAGTCCAAGAACATCTGGAGGCCCAAGGTTGGGGACCCCTGCCTTAGAGGCCCCTTCCAACTCCATGATTCTATGTTCCTAGGGTTTATAGCAGATCATGCTGTAATTCCAGGACTTTCTCCCCATTCTGCTCTTTATTAAATTGCTATTTACTACTCCTTATTCTGTGAACTACCTCATAGGCTGTTCTCTATCAAGAATGAAATAAAATTTGCTCCAATGATATCTCATGTCTAGGTACTAGATATCTCTGTAACCATTGCACCAAGCATAAACGGGGCAAAAGTATTTTTGATTATTTCTGCCATTCCTTCTTTCGCACAAAGCCAAGAAAATATTCAACTTTGTTTTCTTTCATTTCAAGGTTTGGCATTTAATGATGTGTTTAAATTCAGTTAACCAGCCCCTACAGATCATGTTTGTAACTTTTCCTCTTTCTTTCCCCAGATGGGTGGAATCTAAGGCCTAAATATTACAAGGAATATTTTGGTAAGTCTCCAGCAATAAGAGTTCAATTGTGATTCATTTTGTTCCACTGTACACACAGATCTTCTTACTACTACTACTACTACTACTAAGCAGTGGCCTCTTTTTTTTGCATTTTATTTACACCCAGATCTTCTTTATAATAATAATCATAATCTTAGAACTGCAGGGCTGGAAGGGACCCTATTGATAATTGAATCCAGGAGGCCCAGTGGGGAATCAAACTCCGGAATCGAACTACTAACCTCTGGCTCCACAGCCTGGTGCCTAAACCACCGAGCTATAATATTTATACAATGCTTTTTGACCCACATGAACCGATATTTCTGGGTATTGGCAGGAAATCTCACATTTGAACGCTAATTAGAAGCCATAGCCCAACCATCTTTCATACCTTAGTGGCCAAGAAGCAGACCCCTTGATAAGCATATGCAGAAGAAGGGGTGGATATATGCAAATATTAAGAGCCAAGTTCAGGAAAACAGCCTTTCTCCATGATGGACAAAAAGACAAGAAACAGGACTGGGGAAATGACTGGATTCTATTCCCATGAATGGGTTCTTTGGTCATGATCCCACAGTGTACTGCAGTATCTGGCACCAAGAGAAATAGACTTTCCTCCTCTTCCCTTCTTGCTACAGTCTACAGTCATAACAAAAACCTACTCTAGGGAGCCTCCTTGCCTTCTTGAGCAGGTTTTTAGAGTCCCCACAAGAGGGCAGGTAAGCTATTCTGGTAGATGCAATAAGACCCAGTGGAAATATCCTTACCTTCAGGTTGTAGTTTCATAAAGACTGTAGAAATGGCAAAAAAATATTTTCAGTGGCCTTACATTTACCTTGTCTTCTAATCTGTCAATTATTGTTTTTTTAGGAAGCCGTTCTAATAACGTGGTAGGTTACGTGAAGCAGCCGCCGAAACATCTTGGTTAGTCCAAGCAAAGTTTCCAAAAGAAGCTTCATAATGGTCGTGGAGTAAAAATACACAACAATATCATTTACAGAGAAACAGCTCTTCCCAGTTCTCCTTCCAAGATCTGGGGTCCATGTTGGCTTCCAATATGGTCCACCACCATGACGTACTCTAGGTTGAGCTTTGATCTTGTTATTGGTTGACTTCCTTCTCTGGCTACCAGGTTTGGACAAGACCATTCTCTGGGCTCCAGTCGTCAGTCCCTGAGTTGTTTCTGCCCACATGGCTGCAAATCCAGTTTTGGCTTCTCACTGCTGACTCTTCCTGACATGCCTTCATATGGTTTCAGCCACTGGTGAACCTCAGAATAGAAACTGGGTCAGAGAAAGACAAGGAGAAACTGGTTGAAGACAAACACAAATTCAGCTCTGCCTTAGCCACCAATGGACTGCAGTTTTACCTGTCACAGCTATTACAACAATTAGAGTCATTATGTTAAATGGTATTAAAGACATCAGTGGAACAGTGTGCTTGTCCCAGTCTAGATATCTTCTGAGTGTGTCTTCTTGCTTTATCTGTGGCAGAATGTTTCCAGCGGGGAAAGTAACGTCTTCTCACAACTACAGAACTCAAAAATAAATGATTCTAGTCTCAGGCAACTCCTGTCTGTCTTTTAGTGTTTGTTGGTTTCAAAATAGTTTGTAAACGAGCCATGTCAGGAGTGCTTAATTCAAGGAAAAGGGAGGAAAAAGTTCACATGGAGTGGAGAATCTTAAGAAATTTCCAACGAAGTTGCTGTGAAGCTGATAAAACTTTCAAAAGTTACTTCCTGAATGCATTTTTAAAGCCACTTTCACCTGGCTTTTTCAGAAATCACACCCTCTTCTTATCATTCTGAAGTTACACGAGAACTGCTTCTGGGTCTTCCTTTTTTAATAAATGTTTACAAAGGTCAGAATTGGGGAGAAAAAAGAGTATTCCACAATATTTCTGCCCTCTTGATAAGGACAATGCAGCACTAACGTTACCGAATGGAACAAATTCCAGGTGCGGTGGGAGCATTCATACAGTGGGGTCTTGACTTAAGAACGGCTTGAGTTAAGAACATTTTGACTTAAGAACCACTCTCATAGGAAAATATTGACTTGACTTACATACTTAGATTTGAGTTAAGAACAAAAAAAAAACCATGTGGGAGGCAGGGAAAGTGCAAAATGTGAAAGTGGGAACATTTATAATGGCAAGAAAACTACCATCAAGTAAATGCAGCAAGTTACTTTTACAATGTCACGTTCCGACCTCTGGACAAGAAATTGGCATTCTAGTTACATTAATTAGCCAGTGTGGCATATTGGATAGAGTGACAGTTTATGACTGTTATATGCTGCCAAGTTACCTCTAACCCATGATGATCCTATGAATGAGGGATTTTCAAAATGTCCTGACCTCAACAGCCCTGCTCAGCTCTTCCGAGTTAAGCCTGTGGCTTCCTTTAAGGATTCAGTCCATCATGTCGGCTCTTCCTCTTTTCGGGTTAAGCCTGTGGCTTCCTTTCAGGAGTCAGTCCATCATGTCGGCTCTTCCTCTTTTCCTGCTGCCTTCAACCTTTTCCGACATTTCTGAGTTTTCCATTGAATCTGATGATGTGCCCAAAGCAGAACAGCCGAAGTTACATTTTTGCCTCTAGGCTTGATTTAATCGAGGATGTGCTTGTTCATCTTTCTGGCAGTCCAGGGAATCCACAAAGCTCTCATCCAGCACTATATTTCAAACAAATCACCCCCCCGCCCCCTTTATAAGGGTTTTTCTTTCTTTTCTTTTTTCTTTTTTTTTTTTTGGAGGCTTGAATTCAAATCTGCATTCAGCCATGAAAACGCATGATGGGATAAAACTGGCAAGACCACTCTTTAAACGTCTCGCTTACCTTGAAGCTCCCGTCAGGTTGCTCAACGTGAGTTCTGACTTGACCGCACGTAAAAACACACTTGCCTTCAATCCAGATTTCAGTTTCCTGTAAAAAATATTTTCATCTCTCTCTCCGTAAACATTCCCCTTGCTGCTATTCCCACATAATGACCAGAGTAGCCTACGCTTCAGGTGCTTGAATGCTTAACCCCCCAAATACTTCCACCTACATGTCTCTGTTATCACAGCCAGGCAAAATGGATATTTTTGGACAGATCTCCAGCAGAAGATCAGTTTTGCAAGCTAAGAGGGGCTGAGTTGGTCTTGGGCAAATCCAGTTAAAAGGGGAGAGTAATGGGCCAGCGCTGAGCTACACAGGGATGCCAATGAGCTGGGCAACAGCCTGCGGCAGACAAGACACGCAAACAGGCTACAAAATTGTCCCCCGAAGAACTGAAAGAGAGAGTGCTAATCATTCATCTTTCCTTGTAAAACTGGGTGGTTTGACGTTCCTAGCTCATGTGTGTGTGTGGCATTTACATCTACATTCCTTTTCCTTCATTGGTGGGAACATTGAGGTCAATGCCCACTGAACAACCACACTGTTTCCGGCTGGGCTCCCACCCATGCCTGTTCTTCATCTCACATGGCAATGATCAAAATCACAGCAATGAGTTACAGGTAAGGTCTTTTCTAGATAAGGCATTTGTGTCGTTTCATTAAGCCCCGTTAAGGCCTGCATTTAACCCCTCCAACATCCAGACAACATCTCTTATATCCTGGTATGTACAGGTAGAACCAGTTTTTCCCTCCCAAGCTTCTAGGTTGATTCAGCCCTTCTTTGAGCCACTTCCCCTCACATCCAGAGCTTACTTTCCTTTTTAAAAGAGCCGTAGCACCTGCATTTAAAAGCAGGGCATGGGTGGTTTAACACTAGAGAACTTCCCCAGTCTAAAAAAAATAAAAATTAAAAAATGGAAGAACCGGGAGTAGACAGTGTCAGGTGCTACCTGGAACAGGAAAAAGATGGAGTTGGAGCTGCACTTGGAAGCTGGACTAGGGCAGACTTTGCAACCCAAGCGCCAGTTGACATTCTGTGCATATAGGAAGCACAACAAAATGGCCACACAATAGGCTGCAAATAAGGGATTTTTTTTAAAAAAAAGACTACAAGTCCCATAATCCCCTATTCTGGGACGAGGACCTGCACTCGGAAGCTGGACTAGAGCAGACCTTGCAACCCACGTGCCAGTCGACATTATGTGCATACAGGATGTGCAACAAAATGGCCACACAGTAGGCTGCAAATAAGGGATTTTTTAAAAAAGATTACAAGTCCCATAATCCCCTATTCTGGGACTTCTACCTGACTTACACACACCCTAGGGGGTTGGACCCTAATTATGTCCACCTGCAGCAGGGTATTCGTATACGAATACCCCCACCTCTATTTATGACCTCTGATATTTAGTTCTGCTAATTACTAATATACTAATTACTTTTTAAAAATATATACTAAATGTTTTTTTATTGGTGGCAATTTTTGGCAGGAATGGACCTTATTCTCATATGCAGATCATCCCTGGTGTAGAAGAATAAATTGATCCACTTAACGAAAAGCAGACACCTATTTTTTTATGATCCACCACAACCTCATACATAGTTCATTGGTCAGCCTCACGGTTTGTGTTCAAAAGTGCTGGGGTTCATTCCTAGAAAAGTCTAATAAAAACAGGACGACAAAGCAAGTGATCAGAAAAGCCCCCCTTTCAGAAACCCTAACAAGTCAGAGAGTTCTAATGCGCTCTCCTGTGTCAGGCAGCTTTCTCCATTTCTCATAGCTGAGTGTGAGATTTGTTCGGGGCAGTTTGGGATGCTTTCCGGTGCGTGGAATCACAAAAGAGCCCACAACTCTATGTTATCCACACAGAAGGAAAGGATTTTTGACTGTCTGCAGAGACTGTAGCCACCATCACTCCCTGTTTGGGGAAAAAGAAAAGAAAAGAAAGGAGTTAACCCAACACAGACTATTATTTGCTAAAGAAGCTGGAATGGTTTGGTGCCTCCTCCAGTTTCCCACTGAAACAACTTGCCATTGTTCGTACTTCCCACCCCGTCCTGCTGCACAGCAGCTGCACTGCTAATCTGAAGTTGTTTTCTTAGATAAGTATCTCTTTTGACGGGCAAAAGGAAAATCACAGGCACAGGCCAGAAGGAAAGTGCAGGGCCTTTTCCACCTTCTGAGGTCAGCAAAGCCCAGAGAATTTAGTAACCCCTTGACATAGCCTGGAAATAATTCATTTAGAAAATCAGCTTCTTGGCTCCTAATTTATTGAAATCCTCCACAACGAACATGTTAGTTTAATCATTAAACACTGCTGATATTATTTCAGAGTAATGATTATCTGTTCTAGTTACTTTAATCCATCTCTGGGCCTGTGTAGAACTCTGTGATGCCCATTGGAATTTGACTGTTTGATGAATGATTTAATGAATTAATTTTAGTAGATTTTCGTAACGTTCAATTGTTGATGAACAAGTGACAATTTGACACGGGCATATTGAACAAGGTCTGCCTTTTAACAAGTGAACCCCTACAACAAGGGGTTGGATTGAATCCACTAAGTGAGTGATCGCCAAAATATGCCCTGCTCAGCTCTTGTAGACTTAAGCCCATAGTCTCTTTTAGGGAGCCTATCCATCACATATTTGGTCTTCCTCTTCCTGCTGCCTTCCACTTTTCCCAGCATTATTGTCTTCTCCAGAGAATCCTGTATTCTCATGATGTACCCAAAGTAGGACAGCCTCAGCTTCAACATTTTCGCCTCCAGAGATAGTTCGGCCATAATTTGCTACAGGACCCACTTGTTCGTCTTTCTAGAAGTACAGGGTATTTGCAAAGCTGCACTCTAGCACCCTATTTTAAACGAATCAGTTTTCCCCCTCAGAATGAGAAGCATACTGATGCTGATACTTGAGGTAAAGCAAAGCCATGATGATGTTGTCTTCTCTTGCTTGAATCTTATTCCTTTACAGCAGTGGTTCCCAACCTTGGGTCCCTGGATGTTCTTGGACTACAACTCCCAGAAGTCTTGGCCAGCACAACTAGGGGTGAAGGCTTCTGGGAGTTTTAGTCCTGAAACATCTGGAGATCCAAGGTTGGGAACCACTCCTTTAAAGGGCAGTGAGGACAAAGGTACAAGTAAACCCTGGTCTCAACCACATCCTAAACTTCAGCAGAATTTTGCCCAATGATCTGCAGAAGACTTTCAAGTATAATCAACTGGACATGTTTGCAAACATCTACATAAACCATTGCCCTGAACAGGCCAAAGTGCAAACATCTACTGTACATAAACCATTGCCCTGAACAGGCCAAAGTCTACATGATTTACTGCTGGGATCGGCACATGCCAGCAGGTTTTTGAGCCTTACACACTTGCAGGTGTAATGCTCGAATAGGGAGACAGACAGACCAACAGACTCAGAAACTGCCTATCCCTTCCTCCATTCATTCTTTCCATAATTCAGCTACAGATCAGAAAAGTTCACCTTGCCCCAAATTAGAATTCCTATCTGCTGCAGTTTCCTTATGTTTTCCTTATGATTTCAGAACTGGGAAATGGGTTTATTCTTTCATATTCATTCCCTCCTCCTTGTCACGTCCGCCAGAATGTGATGAGGCTGGAAATTCAATGAGAGGTAGTGGTGGTCTGTGACTCCACTGCCAGGGGTGCTGTGAAACCCTTCCAGG